CAAAGGATGCTGAGGAAGTAACTAACTGTAGCGTTACTTACCTTATCCAGGGGCCGGCCGCGGTCCTCTCTTCAAGCCGTGCGCGGTCCTGCTGCTGCACGAGCCGCGCGCGGCTCATCCGACGGCTTCAATAGGAAGGCGGGCAGTGACCGCAAGAAGCGGTCATGTTTCCCTCCTGAATCTAAGAGCGTGCCGCGAGTCTCGGGCGCGCTTTTAAAGAGACAGTGGGAGCCTAAATTGTCAAAAGGCTCTCATTGGCCCCTGTCATGCCACACTCCCCATACACTTACTTTTTGGGGGTGTGGATATGACAGGAGCCAATCACATTAGTTTAGAAGCTATTTAAACTTACCTCTCCCTTTACTCCCTGCCCTATCGTGGTTTCAGTTCCCTTTAGCTCTTGTTGTGTTCAGTTGCGTTTTCTTCGTATTGACTTTGGCTTTGTTTCTGACTACGTTTTCTCTTTATCCTTATCTGTTCTGTTTACTGGCTTGCTTTTTACTGTGTACCAGACCCCGGCTAGTCCTAGTTTACGCTGTCTCTCTGTGCCCTTGACTTCGGATCGTTCCTGACTCTGTCTCCTCTCATATACGTCGAGTCCGGCCATTCTAAGGTCCGGTAGACGTATCTCTCCTCTGTGTTGTCTTCTGTTTAGCCGAATCCTGCGTGTTGGGGTATATTCTCATTACACTAACCCTGTTTCTTTGTCCATTAAAGAAGTGCAAAGATCATTGGTAATAAAGGTTCCGCGCTTGAAGAACCGCCTAACCTTCAGCAAGTATTAAAGGAAGATGTGTCTTCAGTTCAGTGTTTTTCTATGCCACTAAATTAACTACCTCAAGCTAAGCACATTAACGAAGAGAATGATCTAAGTGATCAGGTATCTCTATCTGTTATAGAATTATATCAGTTTGAGAGAGAGTCGTCCATGCTTTGGCTGGCCTCATGTTCTGAGAGATTGGGGGAGCTGTCCCTTGATGCATTTCTGTGGTCTGAGGAGGAGGGTTCGCAGAGTGCTCCTGATCCTGTACTCATTAATCTAGGGGATTCTTCTCAACTGATTCCAGTGGAACCTACCCAAGCTGACTCTGAGACTGTTCTCCCTTCTACAAGAGTTGCACCACGGCCTTTATTCCGAGGAACTAACAAGCCAGAAACCAAGTCAGACCCAGGACCTCTGAGTGATGCTCCTGTTTCTAGTGATAGCCCCAGGTCTAGTAGGATGACACGTTTGTCAATCACTGGTAATGAGAGTTCCTTATCGTATGTATCCTTGATTTCTGTTCATGTGTCTACCCTCCTGGTGTATCATGATTCTCTATGGTCCTTACTTTTCTATGCTCCTAACCTGCTTCGTTGGTTTCTTCCTTGCGACTTTCCATTTGTCATTCCTCCTAAGCCTCCTCCTTGTTTTCCTCACATGGTTGGGTGACCCAGGTTCTCTTCTGTCACCTGTAGGGGGTCTTGGAGGTATAGAGCACCAGGAGTCGCTCCTTAAAGGGGGGGGGAGGTACTGTCACAACACTCCTTAGTTAATATGCCCTCATGCAGTACTCACACTCACCACTGTTTCTGTTTGGCACTGTTTCTCATTTCTTTTTGTTAAGCACTTCACCTGGCCCTTGTTTAGCACCTATATATTCTGTTTTCTCCCCTAACTCCCGGTCAGATCATTATTTATCCTTTATCTCGTGTCTGCTGTTTCTTGGTTTCTGGTTCCAGGCCCCAGTGAGAGTGCGCAGCTTAGCGGACAGGGGCACATGTATGAGTGTGGGATGGATAATGCATGATTGGCTATGTGCTACGTGTGGGAGTGTGACATGTGAGGAAGTGGGTGGTGACAAATTAAACTGATCTCAGTGCCACTTAGGAGCCGGGCCAGCAACAATTTTCTCTGCCTCCTCCTGTTGGGTTTGTGGGTCCTGAATGCTGGATGTCTGCCCTCAGAGCTGGTAATGGTGCCTCCTCCTTCCCCAGCAGCCTGGCGGTGTGGTTCCCCTCCCCAGCGGTCTGGTTTCCTATGGGCACCATCCCTGGGCACCCTCCATGGCCATTAACCTGATTCCAGGCGCTATGCCACCTAAGGGGGCAGTTTATGCCTTATCTCCCCAGGAGAGTAAAATAATGGAGGAATACATCAAAGAATCCTTGAGCAAAGGGCACATAAGAAAGTCATCCTCACCAGCTGGTGCAGGATTCTTTTTTGTTGAGAAAAAGGGTGGTGAGTTACGCCCTTGCATAGACTACAGGGCACTTAATAAAATCACTGTAAAAAATGCATACCCTATTCCACTCATTTCCGAATTGTTCGATAGACTTCAGGGAGCTAAAGCATTTACTAAGCTAGACCTTAGGAGCGCTTACAATTTGGTTAGAATTAAAGAGAATCATGGAAGACGGCATTTAATACCCGTAGTGGACACTATGAATATCTGGTAATGCCATTTGGGTTATGCAACGCCCCGGCCGTATTCCAAGACTTTATAAATGATGTACTCAGGGAATTCATTTACTCATTTGTCTTGGTTTATTTGGACGATATTTTGGTGTATTCCCCTGATCTTCAAACTCACCACTCCCATGTGAAACAGGTTCTGCAGACGTTGTTGAAAAATAAACTTTATTGTAAATTAGAAAAGTGCATATTTGACCAGCCTGAAGTCCACTTTTTGGGTTACAACATCTCTGCATCGGGATTTCAAATGGATCCTAAAAAACTAGAGGCTGTACTACACTGGCCATTACCTTCTGGTTTAAAAGCCATTCAAAGGTTTATTGGTTTTGCCAACTATTACAGAAGATTCATCAAGGGATTTTCTTCTGTAATAGCCCCAATCACAAATATGACTCGCAAAGGGGTTAGTAGCCTGGTATGGTCCAAAGAGGCTGTGAATGCTTTTGAGACTCTTAAACAAAGATTTGCCTCTGCGGACATACTAAAACATCCTGACACCAGTAAACCTTTTATATTGGAGGTTGATGCATCCGAGACAGGGGTAGGGTCTGTTCTCTCTCAGAGAGAAAGCCAGGGAACACCATTGCATCCTTGTGGCTACTTCTCCAGAAAGATGTCTCTTGCTGAGCGCAACTATGATATTGGCAATAGAGAACTGTTGACCATTATTCTTGCCCTCAAGGAGTGGCAACATCTTTTGGAGGGTTCCAAGGACCCCCTGTTGATCATAACCGACCACAAAAATCTGGCATATATAGGGGATGCCAAACGTTTGTCTTCCAGACAGGCTAAATGGTCACTGTTCCTTTCACGTTTTAACTTTCTCATTACTTATAGACCTGGTTCTAAAAACACCAAGGCTGATGCCTTGTCCAGGCAATTTGATAATGAGTCAGCTCCGGAACAGATGACATCTTCCAGCAGAGTGTATTATTGCTACTACTGTCCTCTCACTGTCTTCTCCACTGCTTGGCACCATACTGAAGGCCCAGCCTCAGGCGCCCAGTAGTAAACCGTGTGATAAACTGTTCGTTCCCCTATGTGAAAGGGTTAATATCATGAAAGTGTTCCATGACAATATAACTGCTGGACACCCGGGCATCAATAAGTCCACGGCCGCAATCACTAGATCATTTTGGTGGGATTCACTCAGGAAAGATGTAAAGGAGTGTGTGCAGTTTCTAAGGTGACTCATGCACTTCCTTGTGGCCTGTTGCAGCCTCTTCCTGTTCCTGAGATTCCATGGTCCCACCTATCCATGGACTTTATTGTTGAGCTTCCTAGCTCTGCTGGGTTCACTACTATTCTCATGGTTGTAGACCGATTTTCTAAGATGGCTCACTTCATTCCTCTCAAGAAGTTGCCATCTTCGCAAGATTTGGTCCTAATTTTCATACGTGAAATTGTCCGTTTGCATGGTGTTACAAACTGCCATTTGTAACTGTTATTTTATTTGACAAATTGCCCTGCTTCCCTGTGTTATGGAGAAGCCTAATTGCCAGCCTTCTGCCCCATGACTATGGACCTAGTGTGTATGGCGATTTGACTGTATTTGTGGGATCTGAGCGCTGTTTGGATATATTGAGCGCTCAGATCCAAGCCATCTGGGGATAGGTTGAATGTGGGGGTTCTGTTCAGTTCAATAGGAGTTATGTATTTTTGTGTCTTTTTGTGTCTTTTGCTAACATGTGGTTAATGGAGTCTGCCTCTATCCCTGGATAATTGGATTACTTTCCCCATTGTCCAGGATAGAGGCCTCTGTAAACCCGGTTTGGGCCAGAAAACCATGCTGCCAGCCAGGCCCCAAAAGACACTTTTGCTAACTTTTGAACCCCTTGTCTGATTTGTGCCATTTTTTAATATGTTGCTCCCCTTAATGGATTGATATGTAATATGTAATTTTTATGAAGATTGGATGTGTAGTTTGGAAGTTATAGTACATGTATAAAAACTGTATTTTTACTGTTCTGTTTTAATTATGTTATGTGATTATCTGAGGGATGGGAATTTCCCCGAATGTATATTGTTCTGATTGGTTATACTGCTAATTATGTGGGTGTCTCCCTTGCATGGGCAGAATCTCATAAAAGCAGAGTGTGTGCCATTAAACATCAGATCTTCTTGACCCTCAATACGTAGCCTTGTCTCGTTATTGGAGGGAACTGCTATATCACACTGGGGATTGCTATGCTCTGCATATTCCCCTGAGCTTTTAATCACTTAGCTCTTTTAAGAGCTGTTCCTGTTATGCTCTCCTGGAGGAGAGGTCTTCCCCACACGGTCCTGGAGGACAGAAGCTGATCCAGGGTGGAAGGAAGACGGCGAGACTCCAGTTAAGCTACGGCGGTTGTGGAGTCTGCGGTGGTTGTGGTGTCTGCTGCAGTGTTTGGAGTCCTCAGGAAGCGCTAGGAGCATCCATCAATGGAGGGTACTCGGTCGGAGTACAGGGGGCTCCGTTACACATGGCATCCCCCACAATATTGTGTCTGATAGTGGCTCTCAGTTTGTGTCCATCTTCTGGAGGGCGTTCAGTAAACAATTGGGGATTGATCTCTCCTTCTCCTCCTCCTACCATCCACAGACCAATGGTACAGCTGAGAGGGCTAACCAGTCATTAGAAGTTTATTTGCGTTGTTTTATTAATAACACACAAGACAATTGGTCCGAACTACTCCCGTGGGCCGAGTTCGCTAGAAACAATGCTGTTCATGACTCCTCTGGGCACAGTCCATTTTTTGTCAATAATGGTAGGCATCCTACGGTTCTCCCTGCGGTATTTTCTGATACTGCCATTCCTGCTCTGGATGAGCGTCTGGCCTCCATTCGGGATACCTGGGTTAAGGTTCAAACTGCTCTAGGGGCTGCTGCTGAACGCTTCAAACATTTTGCTGATAAGCGTAGGAGTGCCAACCCGGTGTACCAAGTGGGGGACCGGGTTTGGTTGTCATCTCGCAACATCAAGCTTAAGGTCCCTAGCATGAAGTTTGCCCCCAGATTCCTTGGTCCCTATAGAGTGCTTCGTAGGATCAATCCAGTGTCTTACTCTCTGGCTCTTCCTGCATCTTTAGGGATTCCCAACACTTTTCATGTGTCCTTACTCAAACCTCTTGTCTGCAATAGATATACTGTTCCTTGTGTTCCTCCCCCTCCGGTGGTGGTGGGTGGTCAGGAAGAGTATGAGGTATCTTCTATCGTGGATTCTAGGTTTTCTCGGGGCACTTTACAGTACTTGGTTGTTTGGAAAGGTTACGGTCCTGCTGATCATTCTTGGGTTTCGGCTCCTGACCTGCATGCGGGCCGTAAGATCCGCGCTTTTCACGCTAAATTTCCTCTCAAGCCTGGTCCTGTCCGCCCGGTGGGCGTTCTTCAGGTGGGGGGTAATGTCACATATTCATCCGCTTATAGAAATGTGGTTAATGACATTTACTGTCCACACAGGAAAAGTTGTGCCGAGCAGCAACCTAATCCACAGAAGGGTTAATGCTGAGCAGTAATTGTGCAAATGAAACCTGGTGTCATGTATTCATCCGCTTAGAGAAAAGTGATTAATGACATTTACTGTCCACACAGGAAAAGTTGTGCCGAGCAGCAACCTAATCCACAGAAGGGTTAATGCTGAGCAGCAATTATGCAAATGAAACCTGGTAACTGACTTTGGGGTCAAAGGCCGGTTACAGCCTATCAGAACTAAAGGAGGGGTATTTAGGCCCAGTTCTCAGCCTGATCAGTGCCCTGTCGTGGTTTCCCTTGTGGTTGTCTGAGAGCGCATTCCTGTTTATAGTTTTCTACCTGGTTTTTGACTTTGGCTTTGTTTATTGACTTCTCTATATTCTGGTATCCTGACTCCTGACTTTTCTCATCGCTGTGTCGCTTTCTGTGTTCCCTGACCTCGGCTAGTATTTTTGACTATTCTTTGTATGTTAAATCCGGCCATTCTAAGGACCGGTAATACGTTACTTATTTGTCATCCGTGCTGTACAGTTCTACGTGCTGGATCAAACAGTAATCCTGACAATCACCTTCAGCGCAGTTCCCTTGGCAACTGGAGCTTCAGACACCACCTGCTGGACGGATCCAGCAACTGCACCCAAAGCCTGAAGCAACAGTGGAGAGATTAAGAGCCAACACTCCAGGACAGTAGGCTGCCAAAACAGGTAAGGAGAGGAGGAGTGGGGGTAGGGAGAGGGAGTGGTGGGGGGGGGGGCAAAGAAGGTCTGCAAGGAGGGACAATAAAGAAAGAGGAGGGAACAAAAAGGGGGAGGACACAAAAAAGAAAGAGGGGGGACAATAAAGAAAGAGGAGGAACACAATAATAGAGGTGGGGGTGAGGGGGAACAACAATGAAAAAAGGGGGACACACAATAATAAAGGGGGACACAATAATAGAGAGGAGGGGCAGGGAGCACACATCGCCCGCGGACCCTGCCCGGGCAAAAGAGAAGAGGAGGGCCGAGACAAGTAGAGCCCCTGAGGGGGATCCAGGACCCCTCCCCACCTGGCGGCAGTGGCCGAGAGCCACCCTGCGTGCCCCGCAGGGGGCCCACTTACCACTGCCAGCCGAGAGGGGAGGACCCCGCGCGGCATCCCACACGCCACCCGGGTCGATTGCCGAGCTTCTGTCCCCCCACACTACCTCCAGGGGGGGGCATGGTCCACCTCAGATGCTGCTGCCCGGACATCAGGGGTGGCGGTAGGACTGGGTGCAGAGCGGCACGCGGCCCTGTTGAAGACTCGGGCCCGGGCTGCAGCTCCTGTACCGGGTCCGAGGAGGAGAGTTGGGGCTCACAGAGCCCGAGGCAGGGTGCCCAGGGAGGGAGACACAGGGAGGGTGCCCAGGGAGAGCCAGACTGCTGGGGAGGGGAACCTCACCGCCAGGCCGCTGGGGATGGAGGAGGCCACCGTCTGCAGCAGCACCAGCCCTGAGGGCACACAGGATGGCTGTAAAACCAGGATCCAGTATCCAGGGCCCCCAGGCAGAAAATCCAGCAAGCCCAGCAACAGGAGGAGGCAGAGAAACTTGTTGCTGGCCCAGCTCCTAAGTGGCACTGTGGTCAGTCTGATCTGTCACTACCCACTTCCTCACATCTCCCACACCCACATGTAGCATATAGCCAATCATGCATCATCCATCCCACACTCATACATGTGCCCTTGTCCGCTAAGCTGAGCACTCTCCCTAGGGCCTTATCTGAGAGTCAAATAGAAGCGTCAAATACTGCATTTACAGCACAGTTGTAAACATTCAAATTGTTTTGCTGCTAAACTGCTAAATAGTACATTTTGTGGCCTGCTCTTCATATCTGAGAGTCAAATCGAAGCGTCAAATATTGCGCTTACTGCGCAGTTGTAAACATTCTAATTGTTTTGCTGTTAATCTGCTAAATACAGACATACTATTTATCAGATTAGCACCCAGAAAATTAGAATTTTTACAACTGCGCTGTAACCGCAGCATTTGACGCTTCTATTTGACTTTCAGATATGAAGTGCAGGCCGCAAAATGTACTATTTAGCAGATTAGCACACAGAAAATTTGAAGGTGATAGACAAGGACGGAAAAAACTGGGATTATCTCATACCCTACCTGATGTTTTCTATTAGAGAAGTCCCGCAAGCTTCCACAGGGTTTTCACCTTTCGAGTTAATGTTCCTGACACGCTCTCCTTGGAGGAGGGGTCTTCACCACACAGTCCTGGATGCTGGAGGTTCATACAGGCTGGAAGGAAGAGTTCTTTCCCACACAGTCCTGGAGGACAGAAGCTGATCCAGGGTGGAAGGAAGACGGCGACACTCCAGTCAAGATACAGCGGTTGCGGAGTCTGCGGTGGTTGTGGTGTCTGCTGCAGTGCTTGGAGTCCTCAGGAAGCGCTAGGAGCATCCATCAACGAAGGGTACTCAGTCGGAGTACAAGGAGCTCCGTTACATTGGTGCTAGCGGTGGGATGGCATCCTAGTGTGAGGAGAAGCAGCTCGGAGACACTGGTATCGTATGAGCGGTTATTGAGGGCAACGCTAGCCACTGTGCAGCGTCCCACCTCAACATGATACGTCGCTACGAGGACGACGCTTACATTGAGGAGGTAAAGAGGCGGTTGGTCTGCTATGGCCCAGACCTTTCGAACAAGGTGGTCCACCAAGTAACGCGCCAGTTGAGTGCTGAGAACAGTGCGGCAATGGCCTTTGAGCAAAAACTGTGGAGGTTGAGGATATGGACACCTAGTCTCCAGCGGCAGTGCAAGTTACAGGGAGCCGAAGGTGTTGTCCTTCCTCCCCAGCGGCAGTGCAAGTTACAGGGAGCCGAAGGTGTCGTCCCTCCTCCCCAGCGGCAATGCAAATTCCAGGGGGCCGAAGGTGTCGTCCTTCCCCCCCAGCAGCAGTGTGTCCTACAGGGAGCAGAGATAGTTGGTCTCTCTCCCCAGTGGCAGTGCAAGTTACAGGAGCTGAAGGTGTCGTCCTTCCTCCCCAGTGGCAGTGCGAATTCCAGGGGGCCGAAGGTGTCATCCTTCCCCCCCCCCAGCAGCAGTGTGTCCTACAGGGAGCAGAGACAGTTGGTCTCTCTCTCCAGCAGCAGGACAGTGTTATGGGAGTGGAGACAGGCGGTCTCCCTCTCCAGCGGCAGCCTGTGTTTCAGGGAGAGGAGCACAGCACCCTATCTCCCCAGCGGCAGCTTACTCTACCAAGGGGAGACACCAATCTCCCAGATGGCGCAGAGGGGACCGTGGTCTCTGTGCCTGACCTACAGGGATGCTGGACAGCCTGTCCAGATCCCCAACTACCCTCACAGGGACAACAGGAGGAGGGGGTGTGTACGAATTCCCCTCCCCAGCTAACTCCTAACTTGGCACCAGGGTTAACCCCCACTGACTCCCATGTTCCCCTGGTTACTGAGCCGGACTATGTTCCCAGCAACCCAGCGGAAGAGCTGGCAGCTGGGCAGAGTGCAGCTGGCCTGTGCCCTACCGATCCCCTTGTCACAGGACTGGCCTGCACCCCCCTCCTCCCAGCAGAAGCGCTGGCATCAGGGCAGAGCGCCGCTGGCCTCTGCCACGCAAGTCCCCACAGCATGTTGCCCCATCACCCCAGAGGAATACCCAGGTGCAGTCACTGTTTGCTGTGGGTGGGCTACTCTGGCACTTGCTTATGGTTGGTGGGTGAATCGACTAACTTAGGCACTGACCGACAGAAAGTCAGGTGCCTGGTTAGTCTTCCCCCCCCAAAGGGGAGAAATGTGACGAAGTGCCATTCGCCACTTGGTCCTGGAGAGGCCTGCTTGCCAGCCTCCTCCCCTGTGACTATGACTCTTTCATTTATTTGGCTTTAAAGCCCCTAGTCTACCTTCAGAAAGACTATTTATGTAGGCTGCTTTATTTATCTTATGTTTTAGTCACCCTGTACCCATTATATGAGCAGGGTGTGTGTAATGTAATTGTTTATATTGTGTGTGTACTGTGAAATGTATTGCCTGCTCTCCTGTACTGCTGAGGTTTGCTACCAACTAGGTGGGTTTGGCTATGGAGCTTGTCTAGTGCCCTCTGTTGGTAGCAACAGCAATATGCACTACCTGAATTGCAAGACTGGTTCATTTGCATATTCGGGTAGATTTGCATATTGCTAATTCTGCGGGCAGGTGAGATATTTACTGTTAAATATTGTCTCTCCCACCCCTTTAAAATGTGCCATTGTATTGTGATAAGTCACTGTGTGTTGCCTGCTATGGTTTGACTGTTTTTGATTTTATTGAGGTTTCACAACAATGTTATTGTGGT